CGCCCACGCGACACTTGGATTTGTGGCTTTTCGACGAAACCCAACGGCTACCGCCTTCGTCTCTCGTTTTCTCGTTCGACCACCGGCTTCTTCCCTGCACCCTGATCACCCTGTTCAACAGATACTCCCGGTAATTTTATTGCGAGCTTGATAAACGACCACGGAAGAATCCGACGTCACGGACGGACGTTACCTGGCACCGGGACGAGATACGAATAAAATTGTACTTTGATGAAACCGTACTATTGTGGAGTTCAAGGGTGGTTTCTTCTTTTGCACAAGTACTGGAGTAGGTGATGGAGGTTCACTATTAGTATTTTGCTATTAGTATTTCATTTTTGAGGAGGTAATATGGAGGTTCGAGATGAGGGGTTGAAAATCTGTTTGCAGATTCAAACTTAATTTATCAAATTTCTTAATTATTCGAAAGTCTCTAATGTCTCAAACTTATCAAACATCTCAAGTTTTCCAATTACATACTTCAAGTTCTAAAAAATGTAAAGAACTTCAAATTTTTGAAATCTTCAAATGTCCACATTTCTAAGTTCCCAAATTCCAAACCATTAAAAGCGACAAATTATCAAATTTATAACACCCACCCCTCGATCCTGAAATTTGAAAATTGCCACTGATTCCCACCTTCGAGTCTAAAGTTCCCAAATCCCCGAATCCCGTAACCCAAATCAAACGTCCCATTATCCGGCAATACATTCCCCGAGCAAAGTCCCGTGTCGCATAAATTCGTCTCGATTATTCCGCGAGCAAAGAGCGTTCGAAAATGGCACGGGGCGAAACAGAAACGTTCACGAGTCTTGACGATAGGTGGAAAGTTCGAAACTGTGTCGATTCCTGAGCGCATTCATATTCGCGTTTCGCCGCGTGTCACCGTTCGGACAGCTCTCGAGAAGGCGCAGGTATTATGCAGCTAGTTGCATCGCGATGGGAAGTGGCTGCATCGTGTGCATGTACATCTAGTATATAACGTGGCGACGTTCGATACATCGGGCAGAGATGCCGGCCGTGTTCGACCCATTTTCCAACAATGCTCGACCCGTTTATTATTAGATGCGGAGACTCAGATACAGCTTGCATGCCGTCGACCAAAGCTTTTGCCTGAATAAAGACGACACGACAGAGTGCTGCGGGTATCGAGCTCTCGACAAGGCTCGACCGGGGCAACGCGGATATACGGAAACGAATAACCTGCGTAATTTGGGGATGGGTTTATTATGGGGATGGGTTTCGCACGGAAAAATAAAGTTCGGCCTCGTCGAGTCGAAAAAAAGTAAAGGTATCGAAAGTGAGCAATTAGTGCAAGTAATTAGTTACGGGTTTAAGCAAGTGAAAAGTTAACATGTTATCAGGGATACACGCTTCGGCAATTAGAGGAGCTATAGCTATATATTCAACAATGGGAACAGCAATTGCAACACTTTTGCAACTGAAAGAGGAGAAGCCCTTTCGCTCAAACGTTGAATATAGGGATATAGGAATATTACGAATCTAGTAATACATGTATGGATCTAGGGGTATTATTATGTGGAGATGTCAAATTTATAAGAATTATAGTGATTTGAGATTATATTGGAATTTGGTAACTAGGGACATTCAAATTTTTGATCTAGGGATTTTGGATCGACCAGTTCCAAGATATAGTCAAAGTAAAAATAACTAGAATCTGGAGGTATAGGGATCTAGGGATATTTGGGGATTTAGGAACATTTAGAGATCTAGAGATATTTGGGGATTTAGGGATATTTTGAGATCTCTGGATATTTGGGGTTCGAGGGACATTTGGGGATTTAGGATATTTTGAGATCTAGAGATATTTGGGGATCTAGCGATATTTAGGGATCTAGGTATATTTGGGGATCTAAGGATATTGGAATCTGGGGATATTGAGATCTAGGGATATTTCGGGATCTGAGGATATTTAGATCAAGGTATATCGTGGTCTAGGGATATTTTGATCTAGAGAAATTGTAGTCTGGGGACGTCGTGACCTATGGATAATTCATCTAGAAACACTAGAATCTAAAAGTGTTATGTGTATTTCAAAGTTCAACAATAAACATCAAAGCAAGCAAAATAATGTAACAAAGAAAATTCTCTACATTTCCATACCCGACATTTATACTTTCCAATGCACAAAGCTATTATCCGTGAACAGGCGACAAAACGAGCGCAGTAAATTGACTCATTGAATAACTAAAAGACTAGAAAGCACCATTATCAAACGAAAAGCAACAAACGAGCTGTTATCAGACGCTTTACAGCGACGTTAAAATCCCTAAATCCGATAGACGAGCCTCTACTCGGCTCTGAACAGAGGCCTCATAATATTTTCTATCCCTTCAAAGGGAAACAACGGTTGTTTACGATGCACGGGCGAGACGCGGTTATCGCGGATTCACCAGCAACATCGTGCAACCTACTTTGGCACGCGTTATGCAACCAGGAAGGGTGCTGCAACTGCACCAGATTCAAGAGGGGTCGTGTTTACACAAGACGAATATGGACAGGGAAAGGAACGAATAAATCTTCGGCAAACACGTTCGGTTCGCTGAAAAATCGTGTCATAAGGGAAATTCCGTTTCAGTTTGTTAAACGTATTTCGCCTGGCAAATATCGGCATGCGGTTTCGAGAAGGCAATTGACCGGTTACCGAGTTTGGTATATTTTAATGGAATATTTCTATATCGATCTTTTTATACATCGAGTTATATCAAGTTATACATTTTTAGTTATTTAATTTTGAAGGTGGGTCAATCATGAAAAATATGTACTATAGTAATGTGGTATTATGGAATATGTATTGTAACAAATGTAGAGAATGTAAGAAATGTTAAGAGTTAAAATACAAGTCTCGTTACTCACCCTGAACAGCACCTGGTTGTTAAACGTCTACCTCTCCTATGTGCAGGATCTGAAACAAACGGAACCACTCCACGTTGTTAAACGGAACCGAAATATCGTTCTGGTAAGTAAACCAGTTTCCAAGAAATATAGCAGGATGCTCTGAAGGTTTTACTTAGTTTGACTTTCGGTGCAAGTTACACTGAGACGATAAACTCCATTGAAACTACGAACAATCTGTGCAATATACATATAGATTTTATGCTAGATTTTGTTCGCGGTATTCTACAGTCACTTTACTGAATTTAACAAGTTTCGACGATAAAAATTAGTGTGTAACGGTACATAACTGCAAGTGGAGGTACAGTGATACAATTCAAGCTTATGTGTATACGTATGTACGTGTATACATAGGCATATGCAGAATGATACATGATCAGTAAGAACTGCTATTTAACATCTTAACTGCCATTAAGTATCGAAAGATAATTTTATAATATGGGTTTCAAGTTTATACGTTAAATACTTGTATAAGTTAGACATGTCAAAATAAAACATTTCGTGAACTAAAATGCAAGAACACAGGTATTATTCACATTTCACTCAATATACTCATATCGTAAGCAACGAAAAAAAATGTATATTCCCCATTTGGGGATCCCTGCAAATGGGTTAAAATAACTCGTAATGGTCGCATAAAGAGACCTAACAACTGAATAAAACCCGTGTAAAAGTCAAGTCATAAACAGAGTATCAAATCGGGTGTTCCAACAAGGGAGCAAAAAAAATAAACGAAATCGGTCGCGTAGAGTCTGAAAGGAGCGTGGCGGATTGGGCCGCTGTTGCTCTCGAGGAAACAATTGGTTCCAATTTCAGCATCGAACGAATCCACGTCGTCATAGATCATCGGCAGACGAAGGCGATATAGAAAGAGAGAGAGGAGAAGGATCTCGTCGGATCCTCGGAGGGGCTTGAACGCGACGCCGATCGTCGGCGTGGTTGGTCGTCGAGGCACGGGTTCAACGAGCTGGCTAATCGAAATCGCTTGCCGAGCTAACCACTTAACTCGAGAGAGCCAGGCGAGAGGAGAGGCCCATCATCCTGCCCTCGTTTCCTTCCTCTTGCCCTTTCCGCCTCCGCCGCTCGCTATTATTCTTACTCCGAAGGACGAACAATCCGGTAATGTCCTCCTAACGACGTGTTGCTTCCTATTAACTTTACCTTCGTTTTATTAGTCCTTTTTGTAACGTGTACGCCGGGTTATGATTAACAATCGATCGCTCGAGTCTCGCACGTTACTTGTTTATTACTTATTCCTTATGATGTGGAACGGATGGGTAGTCGTGTATGTGTGAGAGCAGGTTGGAGATTCAGATTCAGAGATCTACGCATTTCAGAATAGATGTACTGGGGAATTTAGAAGTTTTTAGGGATTTTGGGATTTAGAGATTTTGGGATCTAGGGATTTTGGGATCAAAGGAATTTTGGGACCTGGGGATATTTGGATCTAGGAAATTAGGGTTTAGGGATTTTGGGATTTAGGGAATTTTGGGGTCTAAGGAATTTTGGGACCTGGGGATATTTGGATCTAGGAAATTAGGGTCTAGGGATTTTGGGATTTAGGGAATTTTGGGGTCTAAAGAATTTTGGGACCTGGGGATATTTGGATCTAGGAAATTAGGGTCTAGGGATTTTGGGATTTAGGGAATTTTGGGATCTAAGGAATTTTGGGACCTGGGGATATTTCGATCTAGGAAATTAGGGATCTAGGGAATTTTCGGATCTAGAGATTTTGGGTACTAGAGATTTTGGGATATAGGAATTTTGAGATCTAGGGATTTTAAGCTCTAAAGATTTTGGGATGTAGGGATTTTCGAATCTAGAACCCTGGGAATCTAGGGATTTTCAAATTCAGAACCCTGAGAATCTAGGGGATCGGGGATCTAGGAATTTTTTTAATTTTCTAGAAATTTTATATGGGGGATTTGGAATCCAGTAATTCCCGATTCTATGGATTTCGAAATCTAGGGATTTTTATCCTAGGGATTTCCGAGTCTTGAGATTGATAAATTTAGGTATTTCCGAATTTATGGATTTCGATGTCTAAAAATATCAAGAATCTGAATATCAAGATCTAGGGATTCTAGAGTCCAAAGATTCAGGGATCTAGGGATACTGAAGATTAAATATAGTCCTAAGTATACGGCGATTTAAAAATTTTGTAATCTGGAAATTTTAGAATGGGTGAATTGCACAAATAAAAAGTTTCGAAATAAGAACTTTAGTGATCCAAATATGTTGAGATTTGGAAATTTGAAAGTAAAAAGTTCCCATCGCATTAAGAGCTCTTAAAGCTATCCGTGGTGATGTACCGAGAGTCTACTCGTGATAACTGTTCGATTCCCCCGTGTCAAGAATCAAACGATTTCGAAACAAATTGCGCGAGAAGTCATCGATCAGGTAAGCAGCGTAACAGTTTGTGCCCTTAATACCCAAAGCGTAGCGGAAACCGCTAACAATAAAAAAAACTCGTTGACCTAGTAAGGGCATGAATTTTCACGATTTGAATAAAAAACGAGCTCTCGTAGGTTGACAGCGAAGTACAAAGGTAAAAGACGTTTCATTTCCTTTTGTGATATTCAGTTTGCGAGGTACAATGTGTTCGTGTTTGTGTGCGGGCGGGTGGATGCGGTAGGGTGTGTTACATGTACGCGAGTTATTAATTGAGGGGTGGCGGAGAAAGTCCGATTCGGTATAAAAAATGGGTCACTTCCCTCTTCTTTTAGAAGTGAAACTTGAAATTCACCGAACCGTGGCTGCGAATGGCTGCACGCTTCGACGAGAATTGTATCGAGGGAGACAAGACCTTTTTACGGGAACGAAGATGAATTTAATGGAGGTCCCTCTTTCCCTCTTCCTCCTTCTCGCCACTTCGTTCCTTCAATTTCCTACATTTTCAAGAATGCAAGAGGGTCTAACATAATTGCAGTTGCGGTAACGAGGTCGAGCGACACTTGTGCCTGTTTTCTCGCTTAATGAATACGTTTCTCGATAAATCGTGCATTTCTTTCCCTCATAATAACATCCTGCTCGTAATAATTATCGTTATCCAGTGGTTCGGTGGCTCCTCGAACACGATTCATCGACTCTTACCCTCAAATATTACGAAATCTATGCAGCATCTTGTTATACAACATTTTTTTTATACGATTTTTGCGCATTGATAGGTATACAAATAATATACGCGTATCTAAAGATACAAAGGTCTACAAGATATTGGGACTTAAGTGTCTGAGGAATATAGAAGATCTAGAGAATTTCAAAAATCTAGGGAATCTGAGAAATCTAAAAAATTTGGGAATCCAAGGAATCTAGGGAATTCACAAAGCCTAGAATATCAAGAATCTAGGAAATTCCAGGAATCTAGGAAATTTCATGTGTCTAGGGAATTTCAGGAATTTAGGGAATTTCATGTGTCTAAGGAATTCCAAGGATCTAGGAAATTCCAGGAATCTAGGGAATTCCAGGAATCTGGGGAATACCAGGAATCTAGGGAATTCCGAGAATCTAGAGATTTCCGAGAATCTAGGGAATTTCAAGAATCTGGGGAATCCCAAGAATCTGTGAAATACCACGAATCTAGGGAATTCCAAGAATCTGTGGAATATCACGAATCTAGGGAATTCCAAGAATCTGGGGAATACCACGAATCTAGGGAATTCCAAGAATCTAGGGAATACCGAGAATCTAGGAAATTCCAAGAATCTGGGGAATTGCAGCAATTTAAGGGATCTAAGAAATCTAGAAATTCCACATTTAAAAATTGGCTAATCTGTAAATTAAAAAATTGATAAATTTAAAAATTAGAAAGCTTGACATTAAAAATTTGATACGCGAAATACTAACGACTCGAACATGTTATTTCCTCTAAGAATTTTACGACATCCATCCTTTATCCGGCATAAGATAATCGCGTAAGAGTTCACTAAACAATGCACGAAACATGTGTGCTCTAGAATCTGGTATATTGTTCTAGAGAGTCGGTTCAAGCACAGATAAGAGCAGTTCGAAAGATGGCAAACATTTGTATCGCGAAAAGATAACACGATACGAGAACATGTTCATTCATAAAAGTAGTCGCTAACAGGCACAACACGAAGCACGTCGGCGCGCTTGAAATTCGCGTGACAATAAAACCATCTCGCGAGCGGTGGTTTTTACGAGTTTGATGGATTATTACGCGGAGTGATGCATTAGCAGCTGCTACCACCTGATACCTGCATTTATTTATCGCGGCTCGATAAGCGTAACGAAAACAACAAAGCAATTGTTAACGCGAGGCCATTAATACCAGGGGAGATAAGGGAATCTTGATGTTCCCGTTACTTTTTTATAATTGTCCCATCGTTAATGTAGTTTTCGTTTGAAAACAGTGACGATATAATATGAACGCGTACGAATGCTACAGGAGGTTGCCACCGCGTGAAAATATAACGACACACAAAAAGTGTTTTAAAGAAGTAAAAATATCCTTACAAACGAGAATAATTCTATTCAATGCCGGTACGAAAGGAAGTGCATGAAACACGGCTTTCTGGGAACTTGAAGCAGCAACATTTAATACCGTGCAACTTCCCAAATTCGTTTCACGGTCGGAGTAGAACCGTAGCCTGCCAAGAGTTCAAAACACTTGGGATTGTTTTGAAAATACAGGAGAAACAGACTTTTCTTTCATTCAAGGTGTTAAAGTTGTTATACTGCAATTTAAACACCTTCAACACCTTTCGTATAAGAGAAATTCATTTTTTAAAATACATAATTCACGAGTATAATGAAATTCTGGACTCGAGTTTTATTCACGTTGCGGAATTGTAAAGAAAGTTTTTCCTATTTTTATAATTCCGTTTATAAAACAGTAGCGATATTGTTCTTCCATTTTACGAGTATAACGAGTAAATGCATAATGATTCCATGCGGGACGATGTATAATGCGTAATGATTCCACAGGTGACAATATAATGCGTAGTTATTCGATGCGTGGTAATATGTCGCGTAATGATTCGACGCGTG